ATCCGGGCACGCCAAGCTTTGCCCGCAAATACTGAGCAGGTTAAATAGTCCATAGTGAATACTGAAATGTGGATGGCAGACATTTGCATATTCCTTACCGTTTGAGTTCCCCCGCCACAATTTATCTATTTATGAAGGTCGCGCCTCATAATTGAGGTGGCTTCGCTCCATTAGACCTTTCCCTTCTTGTTATTGTTTTTTTTATATTAGTTAATGTATTTCGTTTATCGTTGTCATGAGAAATGATGTCACTTGTATGTATACACCATCCCCCTGGTTCGGTTACTTTCCTTGTCTTCCTTTGTTTGCCGGCACGTTTATGTCATCGAGTATACGCAGCGTGTTGCGCAGACATCAATGGGTGATTTTGATTTATGTTTGTGACAGAGCTTATGCTGCTTAGGTATATATTTTTAATGAAGCATCGATCGCCCCACCGTTGAATTTAAATCCCCAAACATGTGTGCTTAAAATGTGAAAATCAAAACAGCGAAAAAGCTGCATGCAATAGCAATTTGCTTGACGAGGCGTCCCTGGACAACTGCTGTTGACGCGACAATTGATTTGCTGTTTTGCATATATATATAGTAGCTGTGTCTGTTTGGGGTGGAAAAAGGAAAGCTTGGCCTGTCTGGTGTCCTTGTCGTTTGAAATTTATGGCGCTCAAGCCTTGGCGCCTGTCTATCCGAAGCAGGTCAAGTGCCAGCGAGCAAAGGTCAGTTTAAAGCACCTCAAATTGAGTTTCACAGCGGTGTGGCAAAACCTAATTAACATCTCACACAGACACTGAGTTATTTCTTGGCCCGGCAGAGATAGGCTGGCGTTTCGTATCCTTATCCTCGGGGTCCTTTGCGGACCGCCGCCTCTGCCACATTTTTATTGCATGTTATGTCGCTGGCACGCCTCTCGGCCCTAAGCTCTAAGCCGCCCGCTTAAACGGGGGACTGTGGTGAAGGGTTGTCGGTGGTTTAGTATCCTCCTTTCATGGAGTTGTAACCACTTCCGTCCCGCCCGCATTTGTGGTTTTCTTTCTCGTTTTTTTTTGCAGCCCAGAACTATGCAGTGTTTTGTGTGCCCTGCTGTTTTGTTTTCGTTCGTTTTGTGAACCGGGGAAAAAATTCACATTTTTTCTGTCCTGACGTTTGGGGTTTACGTTGGTTCTGTGTGGAGGGGCTCTTTTGTTTGTGCCTGCATCAAATTAAATTTTATTGCGCTCGCACGCACCGCAAACACTGGCCTGGGAACAGATACGAGATACGAAAAAACACGGGAAACAATCACACATATGGCTTAGAACTTAAGCCTGGCTCCATTTTCCTTTCGTTTTCACATCTTGTTGCTGGGTTTTTACGGCCTCACCTACGTGCACCCACATATCAAGTCGCCCTCATGTGAACTTCCCCGCGTATCGATTGTACATTAAAGTATAAGCATAAAAATTCAGTTTGCCAACATGAGTTGCGTACAATAAAATATGTATAACTAGCCAAGTGTGCGAACAAGATGGAACTCTTTGGAACGGGAGCTGCGGATGGTATTTGCCTTTATTGGCAAACAGCGTTTTTTTTCTGAAAGCTTATTAAGAGTGTACTTAAGCATGCCAACCATAAATTAAATACTTAAATATCTGATAAGTTTTCAATCCATAAATGTAAATTCAAGAAGAACCTCTCCATATCCATACTTTAGGACTGAATTCTTATTGATTTTATAAACAGACATCCGATTAAACGTCTTAGTCAACCTCTAACTAAATACATAAAAAAATTCAATAAAAAAGAAAATCAAAAGTTCAACTACTTTTCAAGTCACATCTATCTATGTAAAACTATTCTATATACATAACATTTACTATAATATCCAAGAGCGGAATAAAACCAAGTGAACCAATTTGTTAAAGTTTCAATATCCAATTTGGACCAACCCGTATGAAAAAAATTAGAAAAAATACGAAAAAGCTATGATAAAAGAAATATATATATATATCTCGATGTATACCTTGAAAAGAAAAGAGAAACCAAGGAATTTCCATTGAATATTTACTCTCTACAAGCATTTTGCCCTTTAAGCTAGATAACTATTTTATTGTTGAAATTGGTAAAACAAGAACACCCAAATCCAATTGTACGCAATGCAGTTATGGTCACTGCACCTGCCCCTTTCTTACCGGAATCCATGAGCTGTTTAACTGTAAAACTGTTGTAAAATGTTTACCACAATGTACCATATATACCGTATTGAGTGTACTAACGTCTAGTATCCGTATACTTATACATCTACAAAGATACATAAATATATATATTTGAGTGTGTATTAAACTGGAAATGAAATAGCTTTAAATGTATAGAAAACTCAAGGTGTTTTATTTGATAACGGATTGGGATACATGTTTCTTCAAAACTTACAACTAAATATATTTTTTAATAAGATTTGATATGACTTTGTCATTATACAACCGCTAAGACTAGGTTTTTAACTATAAAATATAAAATGTCAAATTTTTACTTGGCCAATTTTTAGAACTGTTACCTCTAATTAAATGAAATATGAATATATTAGTTGGGCAAATCAGTAAATTTAAACTTGAGCGGAATGTTCGGTAGATTTATCAATGCAGAGCGGAAGGCATTCTCCGTGGGATAATTGATCTCCACGTTAAAGTTACGAATGAGTCGAGCTGTTCCCAACTCCAGTTCCATTTCTACGATGCGTTTGCCTACACACATGCGAGGTCCAAAACCAAAGGGGAGGAACACGAAAGGATTTTTGGACTTTAGTTCGTTTGCTGGACACTTGGCCTCTGAATTTTTGGGGGTTCGTAGCCAACGCTCTGGGAGAAACTCGGAAGCTTGCGGGAAGTAGTCATCTCTGGTCAGGGCATTTAGAGGAACAATGGACACATACGTTCCAGCTGGCACTTGGTATCCACTGAGAACTGCGTCTCTGGAAAGGACTCGAGCATTTCCGACAATCAGGGGATGAACTCGCTGGGATTCCTTTATGCAGGCTCGCAGATAGGGGATGTTCTTTATGGATGCCTCAGTGAACTCGGAGTCCTTGTTGGGCAGAATCTTCATTACCTCCTCCCGCAGCTTGGCCTGCTTCTCCGGATTCTTAGCAAGGCACAGCAAGAGAGCCGTAAAGGTGCTCGATGTCTTAATGGAAATTACATTGAAATTATTATAATTAAAGAGATCATTATACGAGTTACTCACAGTGTCCACTCCAGCCATCAGCATGTCCATGGCCATAACGGTGGCCACCTTCCTGTTGACTTTAAGCAGTTTCTCGAGGACACTTTGCTCATTCTCCGGACGCACGACACCCGCCTTGGCCTCCTTATCCAACCGATCTATAGCTTCGTCGACGTAGGCCAAAGTGACTTCTTGGATACCATCGAGGGCTTTCAGCAATCGCTTTAACTTGGGAGTTTTAATATATCGCCAGGGCGAGGGCTTCATCTCAAGGTCCGCAGATACTATAAAGAATTCATCCAGGTAGTGGAAAAGTCTGAGTGCTTCGCTCTCCTTCTTCGAATCCTTGAGTAATCCTAGCTGCTTATCCAGAGCCACCACGGATACGGATTCTAGGGTCCAGCGATTGATGGTGTCTATAAAGTCCTCTGGAGCCTCCAGAGTGGTGGGATCCCTCAATTCTTTTATACTTTTCAAGTAGGTGGGTTAATTATAATTAGTTAAAGTTTATGTGAGAGTTGCCTACCGCTGCACAAACTCCTGGTTGACTTGCGACATCTTCTTGTAATACAGTCTCACATTTTTCGGTTGCATGAGAACGGGGTTCACGACGGTCCTGAAGTCTCCCCAGGGTTTTCCCTGAGAGGGAATGATGCCCATGACGCCCTGGTAGAACTCCTTTCTATACTCCTCACGATGATAGCGCAGTGTATCATTTCCCGGACGATGGGGCCACACTCCCTCGTTGCGGAAAACCACCTCGAAATCCTCGGGATTGTGGGTGCTCAGAAAAGGTGGGTTACCCATTGTTCCTGGTATGAAAAATATGTCGCCGTAGTCCTGTCGCATGGCCTCAAACATGTCCATTAGTTCCATGTTCTTGTACTTTCCACCGGGCATGAACGTCTTCATCATCAATGCTAACATATTGGTGCGAGGGATCTGATCAAATGGCTTGGCTTGCAGCCATTCCGAATCCTCTCTAGCCTCAGCTGTTGCAACATTTGTTTGCCAGCGCTAAAAATGGTAAGGAAATATTGTATATTATACTTATTTGAGTTTCTTTGCTTGTGGCCTCCCTTATCTTAAAATTATAAAAACATGATAAACGGGCTGATAGTTCCTAGATTATTTGTTTATATTTAATACATGCTTATACCTTTCGTGTGCTGAGCGAGAGAGCAGCTTTTTGCGACTGAATTAATGATATACCACTGCGCACTTTCAGCATTTTTGCGATGTTTAGAACTATTCCCGTTCACCGCCAAAATAGAACTGAGAACCGAGTGTACGTTCTAATAGCTTTATAATTCTAAGGCTGCGAGAGCTTTAACTCTTAATTGGACGATAACAACACACAAACAGAGCGATAGCGAGAAACAGAGAGCAGGCATATAAACAAGTTCTGTAGAGCATACTTACAAGTAAACAGAAAATATTAATTATATTCTTAAAATAAGAACTCGCACATTTTCATAACTTTGTTAAAACATATTTTGAATACCAACCTTGCTGGGAATGCGTCATATTTTTCAAATGTTTTATCTGTCCTATACAAACAACAAACCCCCAATAAACACACTCAAATTGGGCAGCCCCCCGTTCATATCAGTCAGTGTCAATGCCAACAAATTATTGTCACCATGACTAGAATATATTCAACGTTGGGGTAGTAAGCTTTTTCCAACTTTATTAGATACGTATAAGTATAAGAATACATCATATGTATAAGAATACATCTAAATAAACCTATAAAATTATAAACTAGTATTTAATAAATACTTTATAATTTATTAAGGTATATGCATATGTATGTATTCTTTTAAAAATCTTAAGCCTGACATCTAACATTTTTCAGGAATTCAAAAACTATAAATAATTATAATACATTCTAGTTGGGCAAATCGGTGAACTTAAATTTGAGTGGTATATTGGGCAGGTTGATAAGAGCAGAGCGGAAAGCATTCTTGGTGGAATGATTGAACTCCACATTGAAGTTACGCAGGATTCTAGCAATGCCCAGCTCCAGTTCCATTTCCACGATGCGTTTGCCCACGCACATGCGAGGTCCAAATCCGAAGGGTAGGAATATGAAAGGATTTTTGGTCTTCAGATCGTTTGCAGGGCATTTTCCGGTGGAATCGCTGGCGTTCCTAAGCCAGCGCTCTGGTAGAAACTCTTTAGCTTTTGGGAAGTACTCTTCGTTGTGGAGAGAACTTATGGGAATCATGGACACAAAGGTACCGGCTGGTACCCTATAGCCGCTTATTACAGAATCCCTAGTTAGTCCACGGGCATTACCAATAGTTAAAGGATAGATACGCTGGGATTCCTTAATGCAGGCACGCAGATAGGGCACGTTCTTCATAGACGCCTCAGTAAACTCGGAGTCCTTGTTGGGCAGCACCTTCATCACCTCTTCCCGCAGCTTGGCCTGCTTCTCGGGATTCTTGGCGAGGCACAGCAGAAGCCCCGTAAAGGTGCTTGAGGTCTAGATACAAATAGATATATTATTGCTATGAGTATTATGAGTTTTCCGAACTACCAACCGTATCCACTCCGGCCATCAGCATGTCCATGGCCATTACGGTGGCCACTTTCTTGTCAACTTTAAGTAGTTTTTCCAGAACGCTTTGCTCATTCTCCGGACGCACTACACCTTCCTTGGCCTCCTTCTCTAACCTCTCGATCGCTTCGTCCACAAAAGTCAAGGTAATGTTCTGCAGACCATCCATGGCTTCTAGCATTTTCTTTAACTGGGGAGTTGTGATGTATCGCCAGAGAGAGGGTTTCATTTCCAGATCGGCTGAGAGCACGAAGAAGTCATCTAGGTGCTTGAAAAGCTTGGTGGCTTCGCTGTTATTTCCTGACTCTTTAAGCAACCCCAACTGTTTGTCTAGGGCCACAACAGACACTGACTCAAGGGTCCAACGATTGATGGTGTTTATGAAATCGTCAGGTACCTCCTGAGTGGTGGAGTCCCTTAGGTCCTTAATTCTACAAAATGATATACTTTCTTAAAAATTCTTTAGTTAAAGTACCTTCTTTTACCGCTGCACAAACTCCTGGTTAACCTGCGACATCTTTCTAAAGTACAACCTAACATTCTTGGGCTGCATAAGAACGGGGTTTACGAGGGATCGAAAGTCTCCCCAGGATTTACCTTGTGAAGGAATAAGCCCTTGAACTCCCTCGAAAAAGTCTTTTCTGTATTCGGTTCGATGATATCGCAACGTATCACTGCCAGGCCGGAATGGCCACACACCTTCATTCCGGAATATCACCTCGAAATCTTTGGGATTGTGCGTCATCAAAAAGGCAGGACTTCCCATCATTCCGGCCATATAAAATACACTTCCGTAATCCTGACGCATTGCGTCAAACATTTCCATCAATTCCATATTCTTGTATTTTCCACCAGGCAATGCCATTTTAGCGAATAGAGATAACATATTGGCACGGGGAATCTCTTCGAATGGTTTGGCTTGAAGCCATTCCGGATCGTCTCTGACCTCAGCTGTAGCCACATTTGTCTGCCAACGCTAAAATATAGTCAAATTATGAGATATTCATTATGGAAACACGATACAATTTCAATATTAATATTGTTGATATCTTCCCATTGAGAATTATTCTTAAACTGATTTAATATCGCATTTATTTCGATTTTATTTTAGTGTTTATTATAAAGCTGTATTTGTTTACCTGTTGACTAGCAGCAAAGAGTGCCGCTTTTTGAGACTGTTGTATTATAAGACCGATACGCCCCTTCAACATATTTTTCCACGCTTTGAACTTTGCTCGTTCACGGTCAAAGTGAAACTACCCATACCCAGCGATTGTTCTATTAGCTTTATATTTTTCTAACGCCTGGCGAGCTTTAGTGCTGAATTCGGCGAACACAACACTCTAAAAGATAGATTAAGACCGAAAGAGAGGGAGCGCCAAACAGGTTCGCGAGTATTTGAAAATTGCTAGGGAAAACATATGGCAAGCATTCAGTCATTCATAAAGATTCATTTGTATTTAACATGTCATGATATGGACTAAAATATACGCCATAATCTTATCAATAGATCTAGCTAAATTTAATAAAGGCGTAAAATAAGAATGGCGATAAATAAAAAAAACAAAAAGAATTTTTTGTAACTTCAAAATAAATAAAGTTTAGAAGATATGGCTGCAAATACTATTCCAACCAATATACCCGAAGATATACGAAACATAATAATCAGTATATTCGCTGATGTGATTGGTCAATTCTATTGGCATAGGTTCAAAAAAATTGTTAGGCTAAGGAGAGAGTTTTGGGCGAACACTTTGTCTTATCAGCTGGGCAGTAAACCCAAATTCTGCTGACAAAGAGTTTCGCGTAACTCTTTGCCTTGACAAACAATTTCAAAACTTTACATGCTAACTATTTTTTATTGCATCAGACCAGTTGAACTATATATCTATTTTTGGGTTTGCGAATTATAGCCTGATTAAAGTCGGAATCAGATTCTGTTCCACATAAATAATAAAAAATCTACCGTAGGGTTCCATTTATTTATTTAGACAGTATTTTATTTATGTTTACCAAATATATGTATTTGTGTAAACAACAAAAACAAAATTGTTGGAATATCATTTGATATCTGATGAAGTATACAAACTTATGTGTACTCGTAAAGGGAAATATAAATATTCATTTAGAGTAATAACTTAAGATTAGTTTACAAATTAATTAAAGTTGCACAAATCGTTCGAGTTTGCATACGATAAGTATTTTTTTTGGTCAATCGACAGGTATTGACGAGACTAATACATTTCAGTTAAAATTTTTTTCTAGCATGAAAATTGTGGGCGCCACAGGCTTAGGCGGTTTGTCGGCGTTAGAGTGGGGTAGCATATTCACGTAACAAACTTGCGCTGCGTACAAGGCTACGGAATCTAAATCTGTAATCCCAATACTCTTTCTTTGATAGTTTCCTAGATATCCGCGATCATATCTACGATTTTGAAAGTTTGTGAGCGGTTGTGGTGTTTAAGGACGGGCGTTGCAAACTTTTTTGGGTCAATCGATAGGTATTGATGAGAAAAATACATTTTAGTTAAAATTTGTATTCTAGCAAAACTGTGGGAGCCACAATTTTGGGCGGTTCGTGGGCGTTAGAGTGGATGTGGCACCCTGGTGAAATAAACTTGTGCTGCGCAAGAAGCTCAGGAATCTGCATGCCAAATTCCAATAGCCTAGCTCTTATAGTTTAAGAGATCTCAGCGTTCATACGGACGGACGGCCAGACGGACATGGCTATATATACATGAACATATATACTTTATAACGCTTCCTTCACAACAATTTTACTTTGCAATTTTTAAACGAAAAACATTTTTTAAATAAAAAGATGAATATATTAGTTGGGCAAATCAGTAAATTTGAACTTGAGCGGAATGTTCGGTAGATTTATCAATGCAGAGCGGAAGGCATTCTCCGTGGGATAATTGAACTCGACGTTAAAGTTACGAATGAGTCGAGCTGTTCCCAACTCCAGTTCCATTTCCACTATGCGTTTGCCCACACACATGCGAGGTCCAAAACCAAAGGGCAAGAACACGAAAGGATTTTTGGACTTCAGCTCGTTTGCTGGATTGGCCTCTGAATTCTTGGGGGTTCGTAGCCAACGCTCTGGGAGGAACTCTGAAGCTTGCGGGAAGTACTCATCTCTAGTCAGGGCATTCAGAGGATCGATGGACACATAGGTTCCAGCTGGCACTTGGTATCCACTGAGAACTGCGTCTCTAGAAAGGATCGAGCATTTCCGACAATCACTGGGTAAATGCGCTGGGACTCCTTAATGCAGGCTCGCAAATAGGGAACGTTCTTTATGGATGCCTCAGTGAACTCGGAGTCCTTGTTGGGCAGCACCTTCATCACCTCCTCCCGCAGCTTGGCCTGCTTCTCCGGATTCTTGGCGAGGCACAGCAAGAGACCCGTAAAGGTGCTCGATGTCTGATGGGAAATAGCAATGATATTATTATAATTTTAAGAGCTCATTACTCACTGTGTCTACTCCAGCCATCAGCATGTCCATAGCCATAACGGTGGCCACCTTCCTGTTGACTTTAAGCAGTTTCTCGAGGACACTTTGCTCATTCTCCGGACGCACAACACCCGCCTTGGCCTCCTTATCCAACCGATCGATAGCTTCATCGACGTAGCCCAAAATGACTTCCTGGATACCATCGAGTGCTTTCAGCACTCGCTTCAACTTGGGAGTTTTAATATATCGCCAGAGCGAGGGTTTCATCTCAAGGTCCGCAGATACTATAAAGAATTCATCCAGGTAGTGGAAAAGTCGGAGTGCTTCGCTCTCCATCTTCGAGTCCTTGAGTAATCCTAGCTGCATATCCAGAGCCACCACAGATACGGACTCTAAGGTCCAGCGTTTGATGGTGTCTATAAAATCTTCCGGAGCCTCCAGAGTAGTGGGATTCCTCAATTCTTTTATACTTTTCAAGAAAGTTATTAATAAGATAAATAAATAAAGATTATATGAGAGTTGCCAACCGCTGCACAAACTCCTGGTTCACTTGCGACATCTTCTTGTAATACAGTCTCACATTCTTCGGTTGCATGAGAACGGGATTAACAACGGTCCTGAAGTCTCCCCAGGGTTTTCCCTGAGAGGGAAGGGTGCCCGTAACGCCCTGGTAGAACTCTTTTCTATACTCCTCACGATGATACCGCACTGTATCATCTCCAGGACGATTGGGCCACACTCCCTCGTTGCGGAAAACCACCTCGAAGTCATTGGGATTGTGGGTGCTTAGCATAGGTGGGTTACCCATTGTTCCTGGTATAAAATATATGTCACCGTAGTCCTGTCGCATGGCTTCAAACATGTCCATTAGTTCCATGTTCTTGTACTTTCCACCGGGCATGAACGTTTCATCATCAATGCTATCATATTGGTGCGAGGGATCTGATCAAATGGCTTGGCCTGCAGCCATTCCGAATCCTCTCTAGCTTCAGCTGTTGCAACATTAGTTTGCCAGCGCTTAAAATGGTAAGTAATGTTGTATGTTATATTTATTTGAATTTCTTTGTTGTTGGCCTCCCTTATCTTAAAATTATAAAAACATGATAAACGGCCATATAGTTCCTAGACTATTTGTTTATAATTAATACAAGCATATACCTTTTGTGTGCTGAGCAAGAGAGCAGCTTTTTGAGACTGAATTAATGATATACCACTGCGCACTTTCAGCATTTTTGCGATGCTTAGAACTATTCCCGTTCACCGCCAAAATAGAACTGAGAGTCGAGTGTTCGTTCTAATAGCTTTATAGTTCTAACAGAGAGCTAGAGAGAAAAAGCGAGCAAGGTACTTCCTGAGTGGTGGAGTCCCTTATGTCCTTAATTCTACAAAATTATATTCTTTTATATTCTACAGTAAAGGAAGTTCTTATACCGATGTACAAACTCCCGGTTAACTTGAGACATCCTTTTAAGTTACAACCTGGAAATCTTTGCGATTGTGCGTCATCACAAAGGCAGGACTTCCGATATTCTGGCCATATAAATTCCTTTCCGTAATCATGATGTATTGGGTCAAACATTTCCATCAATTCCATATTATTGCATTTCCCGCCGGGCAATCTCTTCGAATGGTTTGGCTTGGAGCCATTCCGGATCGTCTCTGTTCTATTAGCTTTATATTTTCTAACGCCCGGCGAGCTTTGTTGCTGAATTCGGCAAAAAAACACCCTGAAAGATAGAGAGGGAGAGTTAAACAGGTTCGCGAGTGTTTGAGAATTGCTAGGGAAAACATAGGGCAAACATTGGGCAATAAAAAAGCTACATGTTTTTTTTATTTGGCAAAATAAGAAAGCTGATAAACAAATAATACAGAAAAAGATTTATAAGAAAAGATTTATAAAGAAAATTGAGCTTTAGAAGATATGGCTAGATAGGTCAGTTCTATTGGCATAGGTTCAAAAATATTGTTAGGCTAAAGAGAGAGATTTGGGCGAACACTTTATCTTATCAGCTGGAATTAAACCCAAGTTCAGCTGACAAAGAGATTTCGCGTAAATTTTTGCCTTGACAAACAATTTAAAAATTTTACATGCGAACTATTTTTCATTGCATCAGATTATAACGTGATTAAAGCATGAGTCAGATCCCGTTCCACATAAACAATAAAGAATCGACCGTAGGTTTCCATTTATTTATTTAGACAGTATTTTATTTATGTTTACCATATATATGTATTTGTTCAAACACCAAAAAGTTTTGTCTTACTAATCAAATTGTTGGCATATCATATATAATAGTTGCAATCTGATGAAGATACAAATTACGTGTACTCGTATAGGGAAATATAAATATTCGTTTAGATTAATGACTTAAGATTAGTTTACAAATTAATTAAAGTTGCACAAATCGTTCGAGTTTGCATACGATAAGCATATTTTTACATGACAATTTCCGCGCGAAACAATTTGGCACGCTGGGCAAAGAATATAGATAATATGTATAGTATGTTTATATGGGGCGATTCAGAAGATATCATTCGTTGACTCTAAGGACTAAGTGTCTATGACAGTTTCGTATAGTATTTATAAGATAATTCCTTTAGCATTGAGCAGGGTTAACTAGCGGATTAACTGAAGCTAGTCCTGGCTGGCAGATCCACTCGTCTGCTGGTAGTTGCACACGATCTTCGCGGCATCGTTCATCATCTTGGCCGTGGAGCGCACGAGGAACATCAGATGACACTCGTCGTAAACGGTCAGCTCGACACGGGTGCGCACTAGTCCATGGAGAACTGTGGCCCGTTCCAGATCCAACCATCGTTGCAGTGCCAGTTCCCGTTCCTTGACCGAGCCCGTGAGCGCCACATCCGAGGGACCCCAGAGCACAAACTCCAGACGGCCTTCGCCTTGGACAGGGACTCGGCTCGCTCCTGCTGCAGGATGTCCGCCAGGATGGGCGTGATCTTTGTGGCGGGCAGCATGTCAACCAAGGCGGAGTGGGCGCACTTGCACAGCGTACCCATGGGCTCGTCGTCGTCATTGTTGTTTCTACAGGGAGATGGTAAAAGTTTACAATTAAAATTTATAACCAAGGTGCTATAGATTATTCCTTACCCCTGGAGCACACAAGCCGCGCCTGGGCATCCTTGTTGTCCATGTCCTTGGACAGCACCACATTGGACAGACTGAGCGGCGTCTCCTCGATCGCCTTGGCCTGCAGGTTCTTCATTCCGTTGACCAGCTGCAGCATGATGAAGGCCACCTCCCGGGTCATCACATCATCGAATGCTGGCATGGCATTTGCATTGACCGATCCATCATCAGCACCCATCGACGTGGCCGAGGATTCCTCGTTCAGGGTACTCAGATTCTGCACCGAGACCACATTCCTCAGATTCCCAGCCAGTGATCCATTTCCATCCTTCAGTCCGCTGAGATTCGGAATGGAGCCGCGGAAGTTGAAGTTGCTCTTGTCCAGAACCTGCGACTTGCCCTTGAGTATTGCTCCGATCGATTGGAGGGTCTCCAGCTGTAGCCTGGGCAGCACGGAGATGGTGGCCTGCAGCAGGGTCACCTCCGTCGAGGGCATCAGTGGCAACTGGTAGCTGGGAACCAGGTCACAGAATTCGGTCACCGGGTTGAGCACGTCGCTCACACCGCCGGTCAGCTGGCTCAGTTCACCACCCACTCCGGCCAGTTGGTTGCAGTCCGCTGACAGGGCCAAGGTCACCGGCGATGAGCTCCACAGGGCGGCATGGAAGGCCTTCTTGCCCACCACAAAGGCCTGGGTTCCCTCCAGAATGGTGAAGTCCTCGTAGCGCAAGTTGATGGCATTGGCCAGAGGACGCAGTGCTGTCGGCACCACTGGAGTTTGTTGAAGCTGGTTGGGATTACGATCAAGAGAAGGTATTAGTCATCAGAGGAAACTATATGGATAAACACAATTCCCACCTGATCTAACACCTGGGCAGGGCCTCGTGATTGGCCACCACCACGCGGTGTAGTTATCCTCGATGGTCTTGTGCACGACACTGCGTCCCTTGCGCATGCGCAAACGATTCGTGGCCTTGCTGCGGTTCTTGTTGGCCTGTAAAAGTGATTTAAGTAAGTTTATGAGTTTTTATAAGATATATTAAGTAGAACCCACCTGTGGCATGCCCCAGACGCTGTCGTTGATGTCCGTGGCCACATCGCCGCCCGCCTCGCTTCCGTAATAGCTGTACGGAGCATAGATATCGAACTCGCCCACCTCACTGCCTGCATAGGAGGCCGAGATGATGCGTGGAATGTTGGCTGAAAAAGGTAGGCGATCCATTATTAAATTTATTTGGGTATAGAACAAATAGCTCAAGAATAGCGGCGATTTCTCAATGTAATGTTACTTTTTCATAACTGTTAAAATTACGTTTTTCAATATCATGTTATCCTTTTGGATTGTAGACCTTTTTGTGAATCGTGCAAAACAATCTTAAATATTGGCTTTCAAAAATTAACTCTTGTTAACTTTTTTTTTAACTTAACATACATTGAGAAATCGGAATTTCCATTGATAATGTATACAACCAGACTTAAGGAGTTTAAGAAAGACCAGGAAACCTACCCAAGCTGTTATTCAATCCATAGTTTCGCACCGGTCCGTACTCGCTGCGCGTGTAACTGGCGATGGAGGCCGTATCCGAGTAGATGTTATTGCGTCTCGTGGCCTGGGTCAATCTCTGACCCGCCACGGAAAGGTCAATGTTACTGCGCGTGGGCGGAGGAGGAGGCGTTGATGTGGAGGGCGTGGGCGTGGTGTTACCATTAGCTGTTGGTGGCGGTGGAGAACCCATCTTGACGAACTCGTACATGTTCTCGTAGTCGCGTTTGTCCTTCAGATAGCTATCATGGTGCTGTTGATCTTGCGCACCGAATCCTTGAGGCTGCTCCGTTGGGCAGCATCCGCTGCATCCAGGGATCGCTGCTCGAAGATCTCCAGTTTGCTGGAGATGGACATCTTCGGCTCGCTCTTTTTCTGCGGCTGTCGCTCGAAGGTGCTGGTCCTGCTATTTGCAGCCGATGCGGACTTCCCTGCCTCCTGGCCAGTGGTGTTGGCACTTGTCTTGGCCATCGCTTGCCCTGATCCGTGGCTACATTGTCACCGTTTGACGAGCAAATGGAGATAGTGTCGGTGAGGACTCCGCGCTTGCGCACCAGTTCCAGCTGGGCCTCCCGCTCCCGCATGCTGGCCGTGCGCTCCGGCTTTCGTGGGGCTATCGAGGAGCGGATTTCCCCTGGGGAATAGAAAAAACAGATGTTGTTAAGTGAAGGGTTCTCTTTAGGCAATAGGTAATTATCTAAATAATGCAAGCAATTCTTGGTTAACTAAAATGGATGATAAAACCTTCAAAGGCATTTAACGGTAAGGAAATGTGCAATTTGTTAAATTTACTTCTTAAAACCATATGGCTTTTAACACTTTGAATTGGAAAGTAAAAACTACGTACGTTCTGTGCTTATTGTCTTTGTCACACAATCATAATATAATAGTAAATTAAATTTTTATGGAGGCCTTTGTCTGTATATATAAAACTGTCGTTATCATTTTAAGAATAAATGCCGAGTTAAGTCAGTAAAACCACAGCCTTAACATGTTTACCAAATATTCTTTCTGTAGTTTGGATTTGTGCTAGGAAAGGATTTTGGTCCAAATGACCACAGCAGCTCATATGTTTTTTTGTATTCAGTATATATTTAAGCAAACTATGGTAGCATATAAAATCTTTCTAAAAAATTTCGTTATATATATTATTATGTTAGAAAAATGATATATTAATTTAAGGGACTCTCAAACAATAAGAATATTTCATGCGATATGATTTACATTTATTAATTTTACATGAACATTTGTGCATGAACATTGGTGCTATGAGTTTCTTTAAATATTGAAAGATTTCTGGTTTCATTTTTATTGCTCTTCAGATGTTCCCAAATTGTGAACAGTTCAAGTACCAATTAAAGAGGTAGAGAGAAAAGCTCTTCACTGCCATATTGTAATTTATTCATAAGATTTCCCAGGCTGTCCTCAAATTTGCCTGGCCTTCATGGGGCGATGCCAAATGTTGCTGGCACCCGAGAATTGTGGAGAATCCACCAGTTCCTCCCTGCCCCTCCTGCTTTTCACCGGGGCCAAGTAGTTAGACAACCTGTGAGTACTAATTGCGATTTTGACCCAAATTCGTGCCAAATTACAATTCGCATGGTGCTGTTGGTTGGTCAGGTTGAGTGTGGTGGCTCTGCTCTTGGATCTGGGGCTAGCCGAGATGTCTAACAAATGGCTCTCTGGATGTGGCCGTTTTTTCATGACCAGGTGCCAGGTGCAGCGGCAGGTGTAACAAGTTCTCGCCGCATTCGCGTTGACCGCAAAGTGTCAGGCCAAAAGAAATGGGTCTCTGGTCCGCCGGTTTCTCCACCAGGCGGTTGCTTCCTCTGCTCCAGCTAACCATCAACATGTGGTTACCTCATTGGGTTGGCCTGGCTTATATTCATTTCGATTTTGTTGTTCTGTTTTTTTTCTTCTGTTTCGGTTTTCCTCCGCTCATCTGGCAAACTATTTTGCTCTCTGGCTTTGGCCACTTAACCCAGTTTGAGCCGGCTCATCACACTCGTTTGGATGCGGCGGATATGGTCATAAGTGGCCTACCTGTATCCGTACTTCGGTGTGTTCGGTGTGTGCTCTGTGCGCCCGTTATATTGATTAAAATGCGTAACTTGTTCTGTGTTTTGTTTTTGGGTTCTACTTTCAGGGGAGTTGCTGCTGCCAGCTTTTACCATTTACGGTGATTTTATTCGTGTCCTTGTTTCGTGTTTGTGGCTGCAATTGGAGTCAACAAGTTGGCAGAAAGAAGTGGGTGAAGTGGCCAAGACCCTTCAGACCCACATATACTATATAAGTAGTATATACATACTATGCATGAGCTGGCTGTTTTGAAGGTCGCCCAATTTCTGGGCGCTGTCAGTGAACGTGATTTGCTTACGCTTTCTTTTGGAATGCGATCGCCAAAAGTCGGGAGAAAGGGGATTTTGTGGCCCACAACTCGAGTTGGAATCGGGTCAATGGGAACGAGATTGAAATTACCATCATGAGTGCCGGAATTCCGCTTACTCATTATGCAGGAATCTCGGCGGCCTAAAACGTGCGAGTGAGCGCGAATCCAAGGCTTATTGCTCTACATTTAGAAAATCTTTTGTAGAAGTTAGAATTGGAGATTGACTAAGCACTAGAATGTTGCATTTAAAATAATTTAAAAGGTTTTAACTTTTAAAACCTTTTTATTAGTCATATTTTGGGCAATAGAAACCTGTTTTCTAGTGGCTTTACATATATGCATTGGTCATAGAATTGTTGAATCATCAGGTGTTTTATTATTTGTAACTTATTTTCATGAACTTTTAGAAATGGTTACCTAGATTTGAATATCAAAATTTTACGATTGTAACACGAATTTATTGTCCACCAGTACCAGTAAATAGCTATTGGTAACCCTACACTATCATACAGGCTTTGGAGATATATGTACGTTCGTCATTAATTAATTTATATATAATACTAAAATTGTGACACATTCTTTATATTTTATTATATGTCAAATATTTTTAAAGCTTTTAGAAAAGGTGCCCTATAAAATAACTTAATCACCAGATATATATGATTATGGACAAATGATTATTGAATACAATAGGACATTTGTTCTGATGTAAAAAAGCTAAGTTAGTGGGGTAACTAGTCTACAAGTTTTGAAAACCTTAATTAATTATTAATACTCGTTGCATGAACTCTTGAGTTTTCAGACTTAGTTTTTGTATCATTATTATCAATATTTTTAGTATTACTATTTTCGGATACCTTTCACAACCCTACTAAGTCAATCTGTTAAATGTTCCATATTGTATTTCGGCGTGACCTATTAATCTTTCCAACGGAGTTAAATGGGCTTTATTAATTGGGTTGGGGATTTATAGATAACCTGAATTATGCTCTTTTTATAAAGAAACTCACCCAAGTTGGCGTAGACGTTGTCGGCCTTCAGCTTGACGGATCCGGTGCCGGATGCCAGGGTCAGGACACTGGAGTCCACGCTGCTGGCGCTGAGCGTGGCGGTCAGCTCGGTCTTCTGCTTCCGCCGGAGTTCGGCGCTCTTGGGCGGCGGTGGGCGTGCCGGCTTGTTGGCCTCGTGGGCGCGCTGCCCCTCGCTGGCGCTCGATCGAAGGGGCGGGGCGGGGGTTTGGCCGTAACCACAGCCACCGTTTGGGCCGAACGGAGTCACTGGTCTTGGTGATGTCCTTCACCACCTCCACGGCCGTGGGATTAATGTCAATGGGATGGATGATGACCAATCGAGGTTCCCAGAGGGACTGCCCTCTTCCGTTCCTGTACATATTTCTGTATACATGCTGGTTTCCTTCTTGCCCAGAGATTCCCCGGTTTTGTTGCTACCTCCATTGCTTCCCATGCGCAAAAACTTTTTGATGGAGAACTTGGACTTTTGTTTCTGGGGCGGTGAGGCGAAGGGGATTGGGATTTCTTGTCCAGTCCAGCGGCAGCCAGGCATTCCTCCGACATGGAGAGATGACGTTGATTCCGGGGCGTTGGCTCTGGCGTCATGGGTTGTTTGAGCTCAAAACGGAGCTGGCTGACTGGAGTTGCATTTGCTTGGCCGCATTGGCACGCTGCATCACAAAGGTATTGAGACTCCGGAACTTGGGATTGATCACGGCCCGTTCCCGCTTGTCCTTCTCCCGAATGACAGGAGCTGCCACCGCCGCCGCCGGAAGAGCTGGTTTCCTGGTGTACAGATTGCTGTTGCTGGTTAAGATGCGGTTGCTCCTGTGGCAGCACCTGTTGCTGCTCCGCTGGCTGTTTCTCTCCTGGTGACGATGACGCGGACGATGATGTCTCACCCGATGACGTGGCCTTCTCCGCTGGCTTTGCTGCCGCCTTCGCCGCCTGCTCGAACTCAACTACCAGACTGTAATCTCGCTCCGGCGTGGGCGGAGCGCTCAGCTTTGGCTCTGGCGGCGGATTCGGGGCTTTGCCCTTTTTCAGCTTGGCCTCGTCGGAGGCTACCAGATTGGCCAGATTCTCTTTGGCCAGCTGTAGACTCTCGCTGGACTTGGAAATGGCCGACTGCAGCTGGCTGATGAATGCTGCTCGGCGCAGCTGGGTTGCCGTTGCCCAGGAAGCTTTTCAGTTGGTTGTTAGTGCTCGAATTATTGTTGGGATGGCTATTGACAAGTGGTTTCACCGGCAGTTCTGGCTTTTTCAGGCCATGTAGAAACGAGGGCCTGGCATCGATCTTCATGGGCGGTGGCGGTGACTTGGGCAGGGCAGGAAGCTGTTGTTCCACCTCCTTTGGCGACGACAATTGCTTTTGCTTCTGCTCTAGACTATTATCCGGATCGGCACTGCCATCGGGTTCGCCATGGAGCTCCCTGCTCTTGACAGCCGGCTTGGGCACTGCCTGATCACCAATCTGTATATCCTCGTAGTCGAGTTATTGGTGCTAGCACTGAGCTTCTTCTCCGAGAGAAGTTGTCCACTTAACGCCGTTCCTTGGCCAACCCAAGTTCTTGTACTCGCTGCCCAGGCTAATACCAATTCCGGAATCCGATTCACTGCGGATCATATTGTAGGCATTCTCCTCATCCGAACTCCCGTCGAAGCTGCTGCCCGTGGAGTCTAGGGCGTCATCCGAGCTGCACTTGGTCACAATCAGGCCGTCGGAGGTGATTTTGCTGGTCATGAAGTTACCCTCGTGGAGATTATAGCTGGCCGCCCGGGTTTCGAGCTCAAAAGCATATCCGTGATGTACTGTGAGCTGGAGTAGTGCGAGTTACTGGAACTCTCCGTCTGGGCGGCAGTGGCCACGCCCACCTGTTCGGAGTACTTGCCATCGGGTAGATTTTCATAGCTCAACTGGGTCTCCACCACATCGTAGTAGGCGGATACCCCATTCTCCGTATCCGAACAATTGCTGTCCGTATCCGAGTATTTGTGGCACACATTTACCTTGGGTTTGGTCTGGTCCCTGGTGATGGTGCATTCCTCGCAATGGGCTTCTTAAGGTCGAGAAATGGCTTCGGCGAATCACTCAGGGCACTCAGCTCGAATTTTATCTTGGTATTGGTGTTGGTGGAGGAGGAAGTTGAGATGGTGTGCCGCCGGAAGAGGTGGCGATGTACTTGTCTCACTTAGCTTCTGCTTCTGCTCCAAGGTCTCGGAGATCTCGTCTAGGAGCGACTTCTCCATGGCTCTTTCTATGGGGGACTATCTTTTCCATCTCGAGAGGATGTGCCTGTTGATGCTGATGTGGTGGCCGTTCCCGTTGTGCTTTTGGTCATGGTTAGCGTGGGTGTTAGGGTGGTGGTCACCTTTTGGTAACACTGGCAGTTCCCGTAGCTATAGTTGTACTACTGCTTTTGATGGCTGTTGTTGTGGTTATGGTGGCTGGTTTGGTTTTGGCTGCTGGTGTTGCCCAGCCGATGTTGCAACTGCTGTGCTTTTGCTTTCCGCCGGTGCACTTTTTGCTGGGGTCGATGGCGACGACGCTTTGCCAATGGGCTGGCCAAAAGGCATCACATTGATGGTCAAAGTCTGCTTCTTGCCCTCCTTGTCCACCTGAGGGGCACCCAGTTTGAGGGCGGCAAAGGATTTCTTGATATTCTCCTCGGCATCGCCTAGGAGATTGCCATTGTTCATATTGAAGTCGGTGTTGGCCCTGGTAATCCTCTTCAGCTCCACCGTCTCCTCGTCGTCTGTTTCAGTGATGGCCATGTCATCGTGCTCATTGCCAAGATTCATGAAATCGTGATCGTCATCGTCATCATCGTCTTCCGACCACTCTCCCCCATAGCCAATGACCTCGTGGAGCTGCTTGGGAAAGCACACTTTGCCGCCCTTTGAGCTTGAGGATTTTCCAGAGCCAGTACTTCCTGAGGTGGAGGTGGAACTGGTCAGTCTCACGCCAAAAGCCTTCTTAATGATGCTTTCGCGGGAGTCTTGTGCTTGTTGGGGTAATCCGTTTTAACCTCGGGCTTATGACTGCCACCCATTTTGGAGGCGGCTGCTGCGGCGGCTGCCTTGTGCTCATCCTTGGACTTAAAGCAATTCGAGCACAAATCCTTCTTCCAGGCATTCTGGGTAAAGTGCGAACAGATCGAGGACGACATCGCTAGGGGTTTCCTTTTTGCTTACTGCTCACTCTGATGAACAACCTTAGGCCATATTCTGCAAAGGGAAAAAAATACGAAAAATATATAAGTGGTCGTAAGTTATGGTTTGCTGATGATGATGGTGTTGTTAGTTAGTTCACTTCGTAAGCCTAAACTTTCTTTGCAAAATATTGCGCAAGCTCACAATTAACTTTCACTGGCCGCCTGCAACACAATCTCAACTTCTGCCGCATGACTCAATATTGATTGAGTGGACAAGTTAAGCCATGTGGTCATCCTTCCCCCGAAATCATGGCCACATGATGCCATTTGCCCAGGCAACAGCTTATCAATCAATCTTCATCTTGATAATGGAATTATTGAAATTTTGCTGATGATGATGGTGCTGCTGTGCAGTTGACTGCATGGATAGCCAGAAAAGCCTTGATGGGTAGTTGGGAAAATGTGGAAAAATAGTAAGGGACGGCTAGATGGGCTGACAACCACATAATTAACTTTGATTGTCACATCACAAACATTCGATTGCTGTTGGGTAACCGCCAGTTGTTAGCTTGGCTACTGTTCGCGTTTATTTGGTCCCCTGTTTGCAAATGACTTTCTAAACCCGGCCCAAATGCATGTGCAACATGTTAGCGGGTCTAACGAAAAAAACATAGGAAATGCAAATAAAACAGACAGACAACTCATTTATCGCTTTAAAATTGACTGCTTTATTTGGCCAGAGTTCTAGAAATGATTCAAAGGCAAACTAGTTCCTTCTAAGGAGTGACCACTCATTTTGATAATTTCCCGTACAAAGAGAGAATGATTTGTGGTTCTGTGAAATTTCTACAACTTTATTAGGCTAATTTTATGAGTAATTTGTGAGAACTTTTATGGGCAACTTCTATTCTAAAATTTGTGGACGTACTAATTTGTGATGCTTTCGACCTTATGTCATATCTTTATTATACTCGCAGTCATATCATTGGCAGATCAAATTACTTGCCAACGAATTATGACTTTTTATCTGGAAGATCTGCCTAGAATGACTTAAACCATTTTCGGGCGTTTCTTCAGAACCACTTCTCACTACTGCCAGCAACACCACCAACATCAGCTAACAATGTAACGATTTTGAGGTCTTTAAGCCATTAACTTCTTCTTATGGCTGTAAGCATCTACGCAAGTATGTCACCTGAACCAAAACAGGTACACTTATAAAAAAAAATTATATTTAAAACATCACTTTTAATTTTTTATCTAAATACAAAAAGATAATATTCAAAAGAAAACATTTATAACTGAATAATATAATTTGAAAAGGTTTAAATTTAATTAATTTACTTTAAGGATTTCTTAATTAAATGAAAAGAAATTGCATAGTAATATCATAGTTTAAAACCTAAAACAACTAACTAAATGTAACACTTCTATACATCTATAAAAAATGGAGAAACAATTTTTAAATAAATTTTGAAAATATTGGATTACTAAATTTTTTATCAGTGAAGTTAAGGCACCGAATTGGAAGAGTGTTGCTGGCTGGCGTTTTTAGCGATGTTGCTGCTGTCGCGGCGACAACACCCACAGCGGCAACAATGAAGATGACAACACTACAGCTTTTGGCCTGTTTCGGTTTGTTTTGGCCAACATTTATCAACGCCAGCGCCAAGGAAAGTTGACCCATTGTTGAATGTTGCCGGCGTGCTCGACTTCTGTTGCTGCCACGCTTGATTTCTGCATCGGATGGTTGTGCTACTATAGTATACTGGATCTGCAGTTTTGGGTCAGCATTTTGACTTGACGTTAATATGCATAAATCTCGGCTCTCTGTGCAATGCGGTCCCAAAAAACAATTGGCCTCAAATGAAGATGAGGGGGGTCGAGGGAAGTTTGGTTGGGCAAATTGCATAACTGTGCCAGCTAAATGTTGCCGCCGTATTTTTTTTTACATTTTTTTCTTTTCTGCCCGCATTGTTACCCATAAATTTTAGCCTCCGCTCGCGGTTTTCGTTACCGTTTGTTTTTCTGTCTATTTCTGCCACGGCTTTTTTGTTTGTTAATTGTTTGCATTTTTTCTTTCACTCATTTGCATTCGGTTGCGGAATCGATTGGCCATTTATTTATGGCCACACACAAACTCAGCGAACACAAAATCAGGCAAAAGGCGATGAGAGTTGTGCCCATTCTCATGGAAAGAAGTGGATCGCTGGATTCGATATATCATATATGCATGTTAGCCAACATTTGAGCGCAAAAAAAAATGAAATAGCCGGGCATTTGGAAAACTGTCAAAGGCTGCAAAAGAAATGCAGAAAATTCACAACAATTGTGGGGCCCATTTGACCATATAAAAGCCGTTTGGCCAAGACCAGCCTCCAATTCCAATCGAAATGAAGATGGTGTGGCAGCGGCAGCAGCAGCAACTCGAAATGGAATGCAGCAGCAACATCATCGAGACAACATCTTTAAGCTATTTTTCAAGTTTGGCAGCAGGAATGCTGTTTCTGTTTCTGTTTCCCCCCGGTAAGATTGTTGGCCAGAAAAGAGATATCTAGCAAAGGCAAAAGTGTTACACAAATAAATCTACATAAATTTCAGGCCAGCGCTAAACTCCCGACCAAAAAGGCTAATTTATGCTTGCCCAGGACGTTAGCTTGTAGTTGGCCAAGTTGGCCATAACGGCGAGTGGATCATGGATCACTTGGACTGACATTTGGACAGGATTTGGAATTTGATTTGGATTTGGAGATTTCAAAGGTGGGGAAAACTGTCCGTGGGCGTTACCAAACTAATCGATGTGCCGTCTGATCTGGATTTGCATTTTGCATACATACTGTCTGCCAATTGGACACACACGAAAATGCCCGTTAACGAAACCCGTTCCCCCAATTCGTTCCGGCGGGCAAAAGGCAGGTAACCCATTTCGATATTTTGCATTCTGGCGTTCTGGCGTATTTGCTTTAATCTGATCGGGCAAAACAGTTAGCTTGACCGCAGTCCAAGCAATCGAGGCCAACAGGTTTTTCGGCCCCAAGCAGGAGAGTTCTGCAGGCTATTCTTAGCCAAAAACAACATATCCTAGTCTTTGTTTGGGTTAGCTGTGGCTTCTTGTTTTTTTTTCTGGCCAAGAGCCCCGGTCAGGAAAGTGGGTTAAAATCGCTTGATTCAGTCCCCCACCACAGAGCAAAAATTTCCAGAACCCAATTTTAATTTAATCACCACCGAGTGTTGATTCCCATTAAAGTTGAAGCCGCGCACCAAAAAAAAACAGGAAAGCAAAAAGCGCAAAAGCACGAAATTGAAACGAAATGAAGCGCAAGATGAGATGAGGTTAGCGAAGATTCAGATACTATATACACTGATAAGAAAAAGAAAAAATTCCAATGATTTCATAATTAATTTAAACATTTTACGCTTTTTTATCCAATGGAAATGTGGAATATGAATGGATATACGAACAAAATTTTCCAACTTGATTAAATATAATCAAACTAATTAAATATGTTTTGTATTTAATATTAAGCTTTTTTAATTTAATTTTACAATGTAATTATAATAATACAGATATTTATTTTTATTACTTCTGTTTTTTTAGTGTAGCTTTCCATCTGGAAATTGGGATGGGGGCCGCATTCGGGAGCTTTGTTCCACATTTGCACGGGAGATTTATGCGTGGCTGTGTTGCCGGGGATTGGCCCCCTTCTGGTGTTTATTTTACATTTATCGTTATGTATACGCACGTATTAATGGATCTATACGCACACGGCAGTCGTATCCATATCCACATCCACATCCACCTGTGTTATGTTCGCTCCGCTCGAGATTATGCAAAGCAGCGGAGGAAGAATGCTCTCCGCCTTGTTTACACTGGCTAAGTTATGCAGAGGCACTCGGCGAAGTTTTTGGCCAAAAGAATTTCTGGCTGGGTTGGGCTTTAAGCTCCACGAACGGATGTGGTGGGCGATCCGCCATTAGCCAAATGTCAACTATTTGCTCTCGGCCCGATCTGTTGCCTTTAAAGGCAAACTGCCAATTAGGCGCCGGGCAAAGACTTAAAATCTGAATCTCTGAGGCATAATCTTATGTCTTTAAAGTTCAAAGTTCAAGTTCAAGCGTGTGCCCTGCGCTTTGCATTTTGTTGCATTGTTCTCGCGGGCTTTAGGCCTAATTACACTTTCAAATTTAATCAGCTGCTTATTGAGAGCTCTCCATATGTGGGAAACTCAAACATTGTTAGGTGAGGAAAATATTGCTATTGAAACTTAAAGTTTACACTGGGAGAAATATAGATATTAATAAATTAATCCCACAGATCTATTTTTTAAAAACCTTCATATCATTTTGAAAAATTATCATTATTGTATGCTTTTTTAGGCAATCAAATAAATTTAAAATAAATTTATAATATAGTCGAATATATTTAATATAATGAAATTATTGATGTGGTAGTAAATATATAAATTACTCTCAATGATTACAAAAAACCAAATATATTATTTCGATTTCATATCTAGCACATTATAATAAATATGTGTTTTTTAGTTATTGAAATAACAATATAATATTTTTCGATTTTATATGTAGCGTGTTTTAACAAAATTGTCGTTATAAATATAGATTTTGGTCTTTTTTGCCTGTTAAGTTTTCAATGCCAACCCGCAATCAAATACCAATGACATATGCCAAAAATCTATCCGTTTCCCTGTTCACACGCTCAGCCAAACGCAAAATTTGACTGGGAGATTGTTTAATTAAAGCCAAGTCAAAGTTGCCATTAGCCTGGTAGTTGTTGCTACTGCTGCCTCTCGAGAATTTTGCCGGATGTTGGTGCAGGCAGCAGGGCAATTTTGTCAACAGGTAATACAACAAACTTGTGCGACCACAATAATGACAACAAAAAGCCAGCAAAAGCAACACCGCAGCAACATCCAGCACAGCAGCAATTAAATTGTGGAGAAGTTGTTGGTTGTTTGTTGTTTGGAGAGGGGGAGTGGAAATTACTGTAGTGCCCCTGGCTGTTTGAAGCCTTTTAAGCATAAACATAGATGATGACTACCTGCTTTGGGAAGAAGAAGTCAACACAGCGTGATTAAGTGGAAAGATTGGATTTGCTTAGTTTTCGAAGGAAAAACTGTTAAGGGGACCTCTTGGCCCCCAAGACGTTCAGAACCTTATACGATCCTAAGTGCCAGAACACATTTATTTGACCACCCAAGACCTTCACGACATGATTTCTTGATAGCTTGACACATTTTGGGCCAAAAGCTACTTGTCCGCCTGTCAATTATCCTGAGTAACGAGCCCGGCTCACAGCTTCGCGTCTAGCTGTCAATATTGCCAGTCATTGGATAAGTCATTCCATATAATGTCGGGTTAATTGAAGTTGCCATACTTGCTAAGCCGCTAAAACCGATGGGCCACAAAGGCCCCCAGGCATTAGTCCAAGGCCCCCGGCAAAGTTTGGGTTATTTTTAGCAGCCAGTTGATTACGGAGAAATGTTTTATGTTCATTTTCGCCAAGGATATTCCAGGAAAATGCGACGGAGGAGCTGCGGGGGCTGCCTTAATCAAGCAAAGCCTGCAAATTTATGCCTGCGAGCGCACCCACATCTCTTCCTGCCCTTTGGCATATTGCACAAAATACAATATTGTGGGGGGAAGTTGTCGGTTGGGGGCTGAGAGAAACATACATATAATTCAAGGTTAAGTTCCCATGTCGTCTTCGTTTTCATTTGCTGTTGCGTGACGCAGACAAAGAGTAGAAAAAATACAAAATGAAGACAAGATGAAAGGAAGCTGCAGAAGGCACTGGCAACGTGGCAGCAGCAACAGCAACAGCAACACAAATTGCAGCAGCAACATCAGCAGCAGCAACACAAGACAGTGCAAATTAATAAATGAAAACGCATCCATTGATGCAACTGGTGCCAGGGTAACGAATACAGTGGAGCTTCCATGACTCGAAAAAACTATGTGCAGTAGCATTTAGCAACCTTTTTTTACAGTTCTATCCCTATAAGTCGAACCTTCATACCTATATTTGAAAGTAACTCAAGTTTTTGTTCGTGAGACGTGAATGGGAATATGTTATTTAACTTTTTATGAATTAAAAATGTGATTGTTTTAAAAATTATAGTATCTTTACTATAATTATATTAGTAATGGATTCGAGTTCTCAAAATCGGGGTCTATACTCAAGAATATAAATTTTATTTGGTGTCGTTTTCAAACTTTTCTTGATAATGTACAAGTAAAAAAAAAAAAAAAATCTAAACATTTCCCTGGTTAAAATAACTCGAACTATTCGAATTTTTACTTGGCTGACATAGGTTCGAGTTAAGGAAGTTCGACTGTAGTTGCTGTAGTGCGCCACAGCCTGTTGCTGCTGTCTTGTTGATTTTTCTACCAGCACGCACATGTGTTGCGGCAACATTTTACTTAATTAAAAAAAAGAAGAAACCTGCCCACCCCTTGGACCCCGTAGAATCCCCAACTTTACCCTCCTGCAACAGAATGTGTGGCTGGCTAAAAACTGGGATTCGATTTCCACTATGTATTTTGTTGCAACAGCTGTTGGCGCTGGCACATCGTAACTTACTTTATGAAAAACCCCAGCAACACTCCCCACTTTTGCTTAATTTTTAATAACCCAACGTTAAACATTTTACGATCACTGAGTCTTAATGAATACGAGTGTAGAAAAGAACTTTTCAGCTGGACTTTTCTGCCTTTGGGGACAGCAAATAAAAAACCTGTTGCGTGGGATAATTTTTTGGCGCCACATTCCCCAATTTGTTGGACAATTTGTAAGTGCCTGGCTGGCGGACAGGCACAAATTGCAGTTGCAACTGCAACAAGGAAAGACAACTTGTAATAGAGCAGTGAGTCATGTTTGTGGGACACACAGCTGCAAATGTTTTTTTTGGGGTTTCACCTCAGGGCGACGACTGCCATTTTATCCGGTTTGCGGCTGAGATCTTGACCAGAACAATAAAAAAGCCCAAAAGCTGGCCAAGAACAATTGCTGCCTCTATGGCTTCCACTACCTGTTTCGCCCAGAGTTTCTTTTTTGGCCACCTTGTATTCGCGGTTTGGGAACTATGAATGCCTGTTGCTTGACTTTTATTGCACAATTAGAATATGAAATACCAAATAAAAGAAAACATTCACTATTTGAGATTAAGTCAAGACTTGGAAAGACAAGAACAGCCTGGCCATTTGGGTTGAGCAACTGGCAAGACACAATTTTCGATGTCTGCCAGCGGTCTAAAGCAATTGTCTCAGAAAACCAATGGTGAAGGGATGGACACGAGGAGGCTGGTGTGTAATTGTATGCCAAAGGTCAACAACTGTATTGGATTTGGAAAAGGCAAATACGCCTGAAACAAACAAAGACCAGACAATGGCACCGTGAAATATGCGAGTCTTATGTATAAGTTTGCATCAACAAATATTCTTGGCAAAGTATATTATCGATATTAGCAGTATTAGTCTCATATAGTAAAATATGAACATTTGTTACCAGAAAATCGAATTATAATATCACAAAGTTAGCAAACAAAATGTGTATAGTATAACAAACGATGGAAAGTGATTTTGTTTAAGTAGTTAATTCCTTTTTCAAATTACACATGGTGCTTGGATAACAAATATGTATATGTAGTGGGCTTCTAGGTTTGCCCAATCCAAGATGTATCCGTATGGGAGATCTAGCCACTGCTCTTCTTTTTTAAATCGGCTACTCTGCGTTGAAGTTGGAGTAGGTCCGCCTGCAAGCGAGCCATGGAATCCACTTTCGGGTAGGAGTTGCTGTAGAACTGGCGACACGTGCTCTTGGAGGAGCTGGTGATGATTGGACAAAAGTTTGCTGAACTTTTCCCCGGTGCTTGGACGTCAGATTCTTCAACTGGGTAATGGCCCATTCCCTCTGGGACTCCAAGCGCTCAATGTTGACCGCCGGATCTCTGGAACGGATTTTCTTCATTTGATCGGAGCCCTCTGCTACAAACACGTAATTGACAACATGAGCATGGGTTCCTGGCTTGATCCGATAAATGGGCGGAGGTCCTCCTGAAGCCTGGGTTTGGCCACGGATGTCGGCTACTTCGGCCATCTCTCCGCTAACTCTAAAAATGGATGTCTTTCCGGTCATTAGTGGCTCTGGTACTATGTATGGAGCCGTGACTAGCTGGGGGTACTTCGTCTTGATTTTGTCCAATCCGTAACAATCTCGGGAGCTGCAAGCTCGCAGCGGACTCTGCCCACCTCCTGCGGTACGTACTATTTTTCCCTGCATTTTCGACATAATCAATAGGCGTTGCAGATGGAGACAATGTGGTCTATTCACTTAAGTAATTAGAAAGAAAAACTCTTTCCAAGAAAATCAATTAATGAAGAACAAGAATTAGCTCCTGTCAAAAATCTTGTGAAAACCAATCAAAACGTGGCCTCCTAGATGTCCAGTGTTGGTAAGATTAAAAAGGTCGAGGCTGTTAAAAACTCTGTTGGCAACTCTGCATTATGCTGGTGTTGTGAAACGTTAGAACGGTGTAGGTTTTGGAAAACCAGGGCAGGGTAACTTTTTTCTTTTAAAAGCGATGTCCACTTTGCAATGCTACCATTTTATTTAAAGTATTTAAAGTGAACCACCTTTTTTTTTTTTTTTTGTAGCAGAAAGCAATCTTTGTGAAATTGTTTGTTTATTTTAAAGCTTTCAAAGAGTCCAAATACATAAGTGTTTTAGTACATTTCCAGTGTCGGTTGAAACTCGAACCAGAAAATAAATGCTATTAATTTTGTTCTATACCGTAAGGCAAACTGAAAATGAAATTCTGCTGCGATGACATTTCGAGAAATGGCAACGGCAATTGCGTCCTGATGGCAATGTGCAACGCAACAGTGTGATGGCATCTGCATCTGGATATTGGGCACAAATTGCACGCAACGTTTGTCAAACAGAGGTCCGCACACATATTACGTATACGCACTGGTGCAAGGCCGAACAATGGCTCGTGTGCAGTCAAAAGACACAAAGACATGGGACCTACCAAACACACACACATGAATGTGCACATGCCACATGAGTGGCAGCTGCAGCAATTGCTCTTGTTGCTGCTGCCGTTGCAAGTTGCTGGTTGCAAGTTGCAAATGTCGCCGGCTGGCGCGATAGGCAACAAAAGAAAGTCAGTAAACCACTGCGAGGATGGCCAAGTTCAAAGTTCAATGGATGAGGCGACAAAAGCCAAGAGACGAGCAGCAGCAACATGTTGACAGCGACAAGCAATTAGCCAAGTCGGTGGAAGGGTTTTGCATTCGGGTTCAACTGCAGGCCAAAGGCGCGCGAATCAATTTGCATTTGCATCTGCAGTCGCCGCGTTTTGTCTTTGGGCAATGAACCTGCAGCACAAGCATTGCATTAAATAATCATAAATAACCTTTTTGGCTCTTACCGCATACATGTAGGATTGCCACCGGCAATCGGAGCACTTTCCTTCTTTTGTTTGACGGTAGAAAGTGCAACGGACAACACAGGCTCTTGGGAAATAAATCAATTGAACCGGCTGGGCTGGTGGTCTTTGAACTTGGCTTAATTAATCTGTGCAGCCTTTCGAAAGTTTGGTCAGCAATATTGAATTGAATGCCAGCCAAACAGGGACACGCCCAGCGTAAAATTATTTGTTTTGTTGTTTGACATTTAATTGGCATTAATTACTACCGCCTCCCTCTTCTCTACCTTTATCTCTATCTCTCTTTTGGCCAACCATGGCCACAACTTTCACTGCTTCGCCTACACCAAAATTGGTAACCAAAAGCTGGCTAAAAGGGGGTGAGGAGGAGGTGGGCAGGGGAGTGTGTGGCCACTGCAATTGACAGTTTCAATTGAAGCATTCGAGCGAGTCTTGGCCAGGCTTATCGCATTGCGCCATCCAGGCGGCAGCTTTACCCAAACCCATTATCAATTTGACAGGCAACAGCCATTAGACAGAAGCAGCCTCGAGTACACTCAGAAAAATATTGCAAATTTGTTGACAATGAAAAATAAATCTTTTCAATTGCCTTAAGCTGTTGGCCAAAGCAAAGTTGGAAAAGTTAGAAAATCTCCAAAATCTATGACTATGTAGAATTATTAGAAAAAATCGATAAAGATCTAAAAATAAAATACTTAAGGCTTATAACTGTCGAACTATGACTAACTTGTACATTACCAAAATATGCACCTCAAAAATTTAAATTGCTTTTATTTTATCAAATATTGCATATAAATATTGCATCATTGATATAATCCAGTGTCATAATGCCTTTAATAAGGACATATAAACTCTTTATGTCCATTTCAAAAACAATGAAAATGGTATACAAACGGAAATTGATTCATTAAAAAGGATATTATGGTAAATTGATTAGGATATGTAAAGTATTATAAAGTCAAAGATATTTCAATAATAAAATATCCTGTCTTGGAATTCAAATATATTTACTAATAAATGAATAATTCTACTAATCACAAGAACCTCCTTTTAAATTTTACGTGTGATTATGTTGAAATCACTTTTTCCCCAGTGATTATGCAACATGTGATATATTCTTCACCCTTTTCAGCACCTAATTATCTTTTAAGAATTTAGGTGCCACCGGTGCAGCTGATTGAGAGCATTGCATGCCAAAGGCTCATTTACCTCAATTAACATTTGCTGGGCCAACAGTTTAGCACCTAATCGTTTGCTACCCACTGGAAGGCCAGAAATGCCGACAGAATAAAGCCAAAATGCGCTCGTTAATTAATAAACAGTTCCGCCACATAAACGGCGCCACAAATCAGCGGGCAGCATACATATAGTGGGTACTATGTGGGCCACAAGGGACTGGGACTGGAAACTGGGAGACTGGGAGCTTGCCACACACGTGTGCAACATGTCACCTGGGGAACGGAATGGGATTGTGTGGTACGACATGCAACATTTACGAGGTTGTGTCGCTGCAAAGATTTCCATTCGAGTTCCCCGAGTGGGTGGCTCTGCGAAAAAAAATATAAAACCAAATTCCAGAAAACAAATTCTCCGTCAGATGGATAGTGGGGGATTGTAGATTTGAGATTGAAGCGATGAGTGCCGGCAACATCAGATAACTAGGCAAATTTGTCTTGCTTTGTTTTCCTCTCGTCTTGAGTGTAATTTTGTTAGAAATGGAAAGTTTTATTGTTTGCCATCATTCGAAAGCAAATCTCTGGGACTAAACGTTGTTGTCGAATGCAGCCGGCAGCTACTATTTCTTCGTTTTCATCTTCTTTTGGCAGCGGGTTTTTATTTACAGACTTTTTTCTGTTTTTTTTTTGTTTCTAACTGGAAAAGTAAATCTGAAAATCTATTCAATTGTGACCGCTGAGTGAATGATGTCCGACCGAACTAAACCGTCTTCATCAACAATGGTATGGCATTTTTTCCACAACTTCTGCTTCTGCCGCTTTACGGGCGAGTTGTACAATAAATTTGGTATGAAATTAGATTTATCTCTGCATTAAATGTATATAGGATATATATGTATCAACGTGTGTCTCTGAAAGAAACTCTGCTCTTCTAGCACAATGGAAAGTTTCTCAAGCTCTGGGCCGAAAACAAAAAGGTTTTCGCAGCGAAAGCGATTTTCTGATTTTTCTGAATCCCAGGCCAAAAGAAGAGTTCGTTGGCATTTGGCATTCGCATAATTTCTGCGTCATTTAACACACATTGCCTCGCTTAATAAGCGGCCAATTAAGGCCGATAATTAAAGACACGGCTGCCAACAATTGCAACACTTCGAACACTTTGGCTGCCGTTTAGGCCGACTTCCATTGTTCGACAGGTTGCCAGTTGGCAGTTGCATTTGCAATCTGCAATTTCCAGCTGGAGTCTTGGTCTTCCTGGTCTTCGCTAGGCCTGGGATCCGTCGAGATGGCTCTTCCCAACCCCCAGCCCGTACCCTTTCTCAATACCAAGTTTTGCACACCTGACAACACATTGTTAGCCGCCTCGAATTACCCGTGTTGTTTGTGGCCTGGGAGTGCACCTCCAATTGGCATGCCAATTGCCCTGGCAACGAAAGTGTAAATTATGGAAAACATGCCATATAAGGCTTACCAAGTTACGTTTAACGTTACGCATCTCTGCATTTTGTGTGAATTTCATTTGACATTCCCTTACCTGCTTGCAGTTTTTCACCGGTCGCCTGGTTTTCTTCAGTTTATATTGTTTGGTTCTTACAATCTGCAAAAAAATTAGATAAAATATTATATAAAGTATATCTAAAGAGATTAAAAGAACTGGAAAAATAATATTTCAGCTTTCTTTATTTGTATTATGATAAGAAAAATCTAACTAATCTTTAAAGAAACTTAACAAATGGATCTTATTTTTCCTGTAATTATTCATTTAAAATTTTGATTTATTTATCAACCCTGTGTCCACATCTTAAGCAATCGGTCAGAAAACGTAATAAAATTCGACTGTAGTTCAATGGCCTGTGGGCGCGCATGCAAAATTAGCCAATTTCGTTTGGCGTAACTCAACATCAGTAATCGAATTACAAAATGCTAAGGCGCCAGATATACCTTGGACCCCCTGGAACCCCCATTCTCGGCTTTTGGCCATGCAATGACCCGAATTCAATGCACGTCGAGCTCATATTTTACGAGCTGCAGTGCCAGCACTGCCCACCTTTCCACCTCCCCCCTTTTGAGATCCAAAAACAGTTGGCATTTCGGGGCATTTAATCGCTGGCAAAGTCTCGACTTGAGGTCCCCCCTTCGCAACACCCCTGAACACCCCCATTGAACACTGTAATCGAGCTGCAAAAGCTACAAAATATTTATTGTCATTCTCTTCGTCTTGGCCAGGTTGGGTTTGTCTTAACTTGGCTTGGTTGGCCTGTCCTGACTTGGCCAGAACAAGTTGCAGCCGGTTTAAAATGCACTTGAGCACTCCGGTTAACCCGAGATGGCGAGGTGGCGAGGGAGGGGATTACGACGATAAACTAGAGAACTGTTCCATCAAGGTTAACTTGGCCAAGTGGCTGGCTTTTACGGCGCACTTGTCCGTTCTTTCTCGGGGGATTGGCAGACAGTGGAAATCCAATTCTATTGTCAATTAGCATCGTGTGATAAAAACTGACCGATGCAAGGTCGTCTATGAGACAGATCAGACCTGAATACGCGGTCATATATATTAGCATATTTAGCAGGCAAAAAATCCAATTAAAATAGCAATCCAGGGCGGGGTGAGCGCTTAAGGGGATTTAATAAATAGGTAAAATTTATTTATAAGAACAGACAGGTGCTTAGTTAGTAATGTAACTAAAATGGGGCAGAAACGTTACTTTATTTAAATTAATAAATTATAAGTTAAAATGTCAGCCTCATCAACAAGATTCGAGTTATCATTATGTTACATATATATATAATTTATACAAAAATCAATATCAACGTCCTAACTTCTTATAACTTGAGTACATTTTTTTAAAAATTGTACGGCCTTGAAAGTTGTTTTCAGATTGGCTTTATCATAAAAGCATTTTTTATTATCAACAAATATATTATGTTTCATCTCGCACTATTTTTACATTTTTTAAACGATAACTTCCACTGTAGACTCCAAGCCAATCTTAACCGCACCCCTGGGAGCACTTGTTGTTCTGTGCTTACAGCCATTGAATGCAAATTGCATGTATCGTTATACTTGCTTATCGATTTCGATTCGAAAGTGGCTTTTAATTAACTTCTCAGCCCCCGGAGCAGCTGTCAATGTGCACTGCGCTGATATTCCAAACTGATTTAGTCAAAGAAATGCTGCGGCAGTTGGCTCATTAAAGTGAAATTGGCAAATCCACACCTATTTAGATACGTAGAATTTGTGAGTTAGTCCGAAAAGTGTAATTGAAGACGTTTGTAGAAGGAGGAGGAGAAAAAGAACATATAAACTTGGTCTTTTGTTATGCGATTCTGTGGAATTTCCAAGAGTGCTCCAAAAGGTGGAACTGGAGGAGCAGGAGGAGCTGGAGGAGCAGCTGGAGCGGAAGCGGGAGTGATAATAAAACAGCAACGAAGGTCATTACTGGAAAAACGGGTTTTTCTAGCCAACCTCTACAGTTGGCTCTGCAGCATGAAGAAGTGAGTAAGCATTTAGCATTAAAATACCGTTGGGATTATGGCGTTTGAATATGCATGGGCGAAGCGACTGCCAGGGGTTCCTCAGTCCCCCTTTTTTACCCCCCCTTTCCAACTGTCCCAGCCCAACAACAAGTTCGCCTTAATAGCCAACGCGCTAAATGCCGCCAGTTTTTCAGTTGCAGCTCCAGTTGCCCCGGCTGCAGCAGTTGCATCTGCATAAATTATGCACCCAGAGCCATTTGCAAATTGTCATTCATCGTTGGGACGCCAACTACTGGCGACATCTCCGCCGATGAGGAGATGATGAAACGGAGAGATGGGGATGCGGATGACATGGCTTTAAGCCCACGCCGGGTTAACGCCTTGTCGCAGATCTGGTTGCTAATGGTCGACGGAGATGGTGGCGCTGATGCCATTAAAGGTCACTTGGCGGGTGACGAAACGAGTTTCAGATAAGATTAAGGCCAAAATTGCAAGTATAACTGAGCTTTCTTTGTGGAGTAACCAAAGCACATTCTATAGGTGTTAATATCAGTACCTTTGTTTTTGTTTTGAATAAGATATATATATGATTTTTGAAAGACAAACAAACTGAAGTAACTGAAGAGATTTGTTTTTCATCAACCATTGTTGTCTTATTGCCAAAATGATTTTATAAAAATTCAATGCTCCTCAAGTAACCGCACAGCTACTTAAGATTTACTACAGTTCTTTAACAACTTTCTTATGTCTTAAAAAAAGTTTGTTGTCTAACAGCTGTTGAAATTGTTATGAATATAACTTTTTGCAGCCACGAGTTTGCCATATTTTATACATAATTTGGCAGAAAATCAATACCGTATTCAGATGCTACGAACTTGAACTTCTGTTTTTCTGTTAGCCAAAACTCATCATCATATTAATAAAGTGCCTTTATAAAAGATTTTGGGTGGGGTCTGCTACTGAAGATGTGAGTTCAAAATCTGGTTATTAAATTCCCTGTATTAAACGGTTCTTGGTAGACCCGTGGAATTCCTGCGTTCTTTGCGCTTACTAAACCAAAGATTTTACATAAGTCACAGAGACAGCAACCAAATCTAGCCGGCTTTTATTTGGCTATAACTGTAAGTGTCATCAGAAAGCGGTTAACCGGTTCTTAAACTCACTCAGCAGGCCATCCTCAGCAGCCAGAGGCTTAGTTCCAATGGGGTATTCTAGTCTTGATCAATGGTTTTAGGGGAACTTTATCTCAAATAGTTGTCTGGCTTGAAGAATCCGCTTTGAAGAGCTCACATAAGCTGTGCCCCATAATCAGCCGCTTATGACACCTTTTCTTCCTGCTGCTTTTGGGATCCAAACCCGTTTCCGTTCTCTTCTAACCGTTAAGTGACCAGAGAGCCCCAATGCAATTCAAATGCAGATGAGTGTGGCCATCACCATCTTTCTACCGACTGCAACTTCAACTGCAACTGCAACTTTCTACGGAGTTGGGAGTTTCGAGTGGAGTGGAGTGGAGTGCAATCGAATGCTTCAATGGAGCAGAAAACTTTTGGTGGCATCTCTCCTCGTTCGTTTCGGTGTCGCAAATGAAGTTGAAGTCAATTTACTCAAGCATTGACATTGCAGTAGCAGCAGCCTCGGAGTTTCCAGTTGAGTGGAAAAGCTGAGCATGCAAATTGCTGCATTCACAGGGGGCCGGAGCCCCATAGATTTCGGCTCGGGCCAATAACCAGTGCAATTTTGCTGGCCATATTTAATTGCCGCTTAAGCCGCACAATTAATTTGTCAAAAAAGAAAAAACAAATGAAAAAAAGTAGTGGCTAGTCAAGAGCTCAGGGGGAGGGTAATCTGTCAAGGCATGGTGGCAGGTGGCGCAACTTTCACCTTGACCGGTTGGCCAAAATCCAAGCCAAAGCCAGCTAAAATTGCACTGCGGCCAAAGTCTAAAGCCAGGTTATCATCATTAAGTTCGGCACATTTAATTAGACAGTTTGCAGATGCCTCGCTTTTATTCAGATGGAGAATCCGAACCGGATCCGAACAAAGAACTTCCCTTCACTGCCCATCGCTCACATAGCGCTTTGTACGCTATTTTTGTATTTTTGTATTTCTATTTTTTTTTTTGGTAATTTGCATTTCTAAGCTTGGCAAATTGGACAAAGACAACTGCGAAAAAGGCATTGAAAAGTTTTTCGCATTTTTGTGCGCTGTTAATTAGCCACGAGAAGCGTAATGCGCATAATGGCTATTAAAAGATATACACCGATATGCATATCGAAGTATAGGAACATAAAATGTGTAGAAAGGGATTTGAAAATGCTGTGCGGTTGTAAACAAAAGAAGTAAGCCAGCTGAGTGATTGATCGAAGGTTGAATGACCCCAAGACGATCCGAGATCGAGTTGAGTCGACCTAAACTGAGGCTGAGAAGCGGAGAACATAATTATGAGCTTATAAATAAAATAGAACTACACGCCGAAGGCAGAACATAATTAACAGGCACGTGTGAGTTGGTGTGTGTGTGAGAGCTGTATCTAGATACTATATCTATGACGCGCACTGTGCGTGCCCAAAGGAAATCGCTCATGCCCCGCTACTCAATTAAAGTCGGAAAGCAAAAGTACCGAAATATTTCAGTTTCGCTGACCAGCCGGGCATGTCGCAAAAAACAAAAGGGGCAGATAAAGATACAAACCATATTTCTTGAACATTCAAAATAGACCCGGCAGCGGTTAAAGGTTAGCTTTCTTCTTTCACATATCTTTATGACAATCCCTAGTTGTTATTATCGTTTTAAGGAGTGCGGTCATAAATCAGATGATCATGCAGCACGAGTGTGCATCCTCCAAATGCACTTGGAGAAAACGTTTTTAATAGATACAATTTGTTTTATTTTAGGTAGTTTCATAGATTATTGTAAGATTTATATTTTATTGTTTCCAATAAGTTTCTATGCTATGGAATGTGTTTATATATATTATACTATCTAAACAAATTATTAAAATATTCAAACTTTTTAAAAGAATTTTTTGGTATTTAAGTTATTATAAGATGCAAAAGAGATACAAACTTAGTTTTTTCACATTCTTTTTTTTTTATTATGTAGCTTTCAAGAAGTTTCTGTATAATATAAAAAGTCTATTAACCTGCATGTTGAAATGGAATTCAGAGTTATAATAAGGAGATACAAACTGGATTATTGTTTTACATTCCTGAATAACTTTAAAGTATTTGTTGATCATTAATAAATTTTTAATTACTTTTTTACCGATTTGTTCTCAGTGTTTTTAGATCCAATCAAAGCGCTTTCGCTGAGTGAGAAAACAGCGCGAGGGAATGCATTTCCATCGCCACCGGTGGTTGTGGGGGAGAAACAATAGCAGGCTGATGATCGCTCCTCATTTATGCGCTTCCTAAACTACAAAAACAGCAGCGGAGGGCGCTTGAGCTGGGACTGCATTTTACATATATAATTAGACATATATCTGTATGGCGGGCAATGTGCGTACCCCTCGTGGCTATTATTAGGCCCGCGTTCCCTGTCCCGCTGCCTTAAGTGATCAGTTCCGCTTGCGTTGGATATCCCTCTTCCTATTCCAGATATTCCTCATGCATTTTTATATCTCTGCATGCATTATTCCACCCAGAGTGCAGCCCGCCATAAAATGGGAGACAATTGTCAAATAAAAGAGCCGCTTATGTGCATCTTTTCAGCTCGTTTGTGAGGGCAGCGAAGTCACCTTGTGCGGGGCATTATGCAATTCACGTAATTGTAATTGACAGCATCCTGCAGATTTCCTTCTCGCCATGCATAAGTGATAACATTTCGATTAGCAGCCAGATTGCGTCTAGCTGCACAAACAAGTTTATCCAGATTCATCTGGGTGTCTGCCATTCATAAACTCTGTTCTTTAGTAGACAACAAATTATTCGCACTTCTGATTTGTTTATGGATTGCTTAAGTATGACGTGAGATCATATTTGTCAAAATTTAGAGATTGCGCCATTTGTCATTCAAATATTTGTGTTATGGTACCATAGTGTCCCTTCTACATGTTAGTTGACTAAAAATGATCTTAAGGTATTTGTATCTAAAATGGTTTTGTTAACAGAATATTAAGAATATAAGATCCTTTTATGTTTGTTAAGATATGCTAGCTGAAATGATTATACTACAGAGAATTATAAGGAAAGTGGAAAAGGAAAGACACATCATGTCTTATACCACTACACGTAGAATATTATGATCCTTAACTTCATTATAGGGACATATCTATTTATTTTTTTAGAAATATGCTTAAACGGAATCTAATAATTAATTTTTATTAATGAGTTATATAATTAATTATTAAAGAAACTCTAACTAAAACTATTATCTTTACAAATGGTTGCTAGGAAATTGAGAAAGGAAGACATGAAACTTCTTATAAAGCATATCACGAACTTCTTCAGCTTATTACCCTGGATGACACTCACTTATATAAGTGGTATGATATTGTTTGTCTTCAGTTCCCCTCTCACCTGGATGGGTTATTTATGGTGACATAAGGGGGCTTTCATTGCCAGTGTTTCTGCGGTGTTTACCTATTAGCACTTAACATTGACCCAACATGCGCTTTAACATTGACTTAACAGCGCCCACGCATGCCGTCTCTTTCTCCGCGGATGGCCTTAGCCTTCGTTGTAATTGTCCAAAGTAAATAAGCCAGCAAACAAAGCCACAATCAAATAAAATTTTGAATATTAAATGTTGGCCAACGGCAACATGAAGCAGTGACCATTTTTTTTTCTATTTTTTTTGCCGGCCACTGAGGTTAATGGGCCCCTGGCATGATAGCTCTCAAATATCTGTGCCGTGTTTTTCTCGTTTTCGGTTTCGGTTTTCCAGTAGCCAGTGTTTTTGGAGTAGAAGTAGTTGGTAGCACACATTTGATTGCACCTTTATCTCTGGGCACCTTTTTGACCTCGTCGCATTGCAAAATGTTCCGTTTCTTTTAATTTCAGTGTCTGTTTTTTTCTTGGGCTTTTCTTGGCCTCTTGGTTAGCCGGCAACTTGTTGCCTCTTAGCCGTATTTTTTTTGCTGCTGTTCGATAGCTGTACAAACCGGTCAAGAGCCGGGGCATAAAACGCTTCGCTTCGGCAGGGAGCATGAAAAAAAGGCGCACAAAAGCCGTTGTTCACAGAGGCGATAATAAAGTCCCGTCCCAGTCAAATGCAAAAAAAAGCAGAAAAATATCGCTTAGCCTGAACTCTTAGTGTGTTCGGTCATTGGCTGATCATCATAATGATAATGATCTTCATCATAGATCAGTTGAACGCTGAGCATATGCATATTCATGATGGGGATATTGTGAAATTCCATAAATGACCTCTAGATGGCTGCCAAAAGCCTTCCCCTTGATAATGCCAACCATTGTTTTATTTTTTTTATTCGCTTTTCCGACTTGTATATATAGTATGTGCGTTGCCTTGGGCTTGAAAATGGGAAAATATTTTGATTGTACGGCCTTTTGCATGTGGAAAACAAACGCC